GACCGGAACCAAGAGGAAGGATGGCGGAAGACGGCAGTGCTAGCGTAGTCGTCAGGGTGACCTTAGAGGACTCCCGGGAGTGGGGAAACGAGAACAAAGCAAAAAGATGAAGAAGTGATGAAAATCCTTTGGTACGGGTCAAAGTGTCAAAGTCACCACGTGATGATGATGTCATTTGACCAAATCAGTTTTCAAATTCAACTGTCCTCCTCATCAATGTCCTTTGCTCTGGTGCTAATTGGGCACCCAGTCCTGAGACTGCTGGTGGCTGTCCTGCCTCCATCATACGGGTAACATACATTGGATCGCGAGTGGTTGTCCGCAGTGTGCTGGAAGGGTGCCCACTTGATTGGGCATCTGTAGGTCTTCCAAGCACAGTGTGCTTGCACTTCATCCTGGCTAGGATGACATCAGTGCATCTTCAGGATGCGGTGCGGATATATACAAGCTCAGACGTCTAGCCAGCACCCCGTTAGTGGACGTCGGGTCATGTCCCCAATCTCGGACATGCCCGACGCCCTGACGCAAATAAGTGTCTTTGTGGTGTAGTTGCTGCTAGTTTCTGTTCCAAGTACCTGATGCATGATCATGAGGGGGTTTCATATTACATTAACCTTTGACTGTTAGGACTCTCGTGGATCTTGATACTGAAACATTTGACTAAATCTGCTAGCGTTGAATCCTTTTGCGAGCCCAAGTCATCAGTGACAAGATTGGACTCAATTTGCGAGTCTTGTGTTCATATCTCATTATTGCGATCAGCTAAGCTTTCATGAGAACTCCACCGACTCAACAGCGTCACAGAAGAATGCAACATTCATTATGCTCAACTGTAATTATAGGTTTCATAACCTTGTGCACAGTCTTGACAAGACCAAGTTATCTCGCGGAAAATCTAGACACTACCTTACGATTAGGAACATCAAACCATGGGACCATCAAGATATCACAACTTGGCAAAGTAGATCCATTGTCATCAACACTTGCACCATCATTTACAATCTCAAAACTTGCCAATCCTTTGGATCTAACACTTGGACCAACATCTGAACTCACAACAAAAAATGTAGTATCACCAAAAAACCATAAATTTTCTGACACATCAGGAATTCAAAAGACAAATCTGTTCAAACATATACCACAAGAAAAGCTTTCCTTTGGGTCCACACCAGATGTTGAAACGTGGCTGGATCATCAAAACATACATATCAGTGTCACAAAACCAGTATCACATCTACTAGGAGATCATCACAACACCTTACCCTCTAACAACTTGATGCTCAAACCCTTTCTATCTAGTTTTTTGACACAGCCCCTTCAAGGCTCTGGTTCAAGAAATCTGCATATTCATCAAGTTCCAACTCATAGGCTACCTAGATTTTCAGGGCCGAGTTCAGCTCAAGGCATTCCAACACGTGACTCATCTGTACAAAAACCCGCAATTATCAAGCTAGATAACCCTCACCCAAAGATTGGCCCACCCTTTCATCCCACGCAAAAGTTCAAGGTTCCAGAGGAGACAAAAGTCCCAGGGACATATAGCAGTCGGCATGAAAAATTACCATCATCTCGAAGAAAATATCAAAATGTGATTGACCCTCACGGTAAGAAAACCAACACTGCAATACGTGAAGATATGTCTATATTGTCAAGGGTTGGAAAAATGGTGCTCAAAGATAGTGTTGCATTTGGGGAGGGAATTAAGGGATGGCTCATTGTCTTGAGAGATACATTAATACAAAGAATTGTGGCAGAGAAACCTGTTGGTATAGAATCTAGTGATATAGAAAGAGCATTTTGTCGGGCCAAGCAGAAATTTGTACCCACTTTTATTGGATTTCTGATGACAAGATACAACAACCCAAGTGGCAAAAGCAGGAAGAAACTTTTAAATGGGGGATGGGAATACTTGAAGAGCTACATGAATGATTGGCCAGATCTGAATTTTGAAGTTGCTTTCAAGCTCAAAGATATCAAGGTCGATAGTGATGTCTGGGAATGGACTCCAGACAAACTTCTGATATACATGGTTTGGATGGATTCAAGGTACAACATACCATCCGAGGTCATGTCCAGGTTGATTTGGGGCTGGAAACAATTGAATGAAGGATTATAATTTTCATGGATTTCCTAGGAGAGTTCACGGACTCGAGTATTTTGGACGTCGTGTGTTTTGACTGTCTTCAACCCCAAGCTTCCTAGCATTCTTGATTGAGCAATTTTGGATTCGGATTTGATTGTTGTCTGATTAGATACTTAAATGTAAAATTCCCTCGATTTCCATGGAAAGTGATAAGAGTTGTAACCGTGCGATGACGCAGATGATATAGCCAAACAGAGCTACCGCAAAAAAGACACTTTGAACTTATGTTTTGGAAACTATGCACGTGTGCATATTACTTTGAGTACCGTATCATTCAAAATCAATGATTAACCTTGATCGAAATTCATTTGTTTCTAATGAACAGCAATGTCTTTGTGAGGCCATTCTATAATAAATGTGTAGTTCGTCTTGGGTCATTGATAGTTTCGTCGAATTTAGTCCTTAGTTGCTGATCCTTACGATGGACGAGAGAGGAGGGTGGAGGACAAACCTCAGACCCGGATACAGTCTGTACAGACTGTACAACTCAATACACAACTCCCTGACCCCCCTCATCATGTTTTCTAATGAACTCGTTCAAGCTACAAGGCTTCAGACAGCTTCAGACACTCCTGATTGTCATCATCATCCCAACCTCATGAAAGCTTAACAGATCACATTAGAAGCTAGGAGACCAGTCGTAGTTATTGAGCACTTGCTTGCTCTTTTGCTCATCATCTTTCTTTGACTCTATATGTACAACAAAGTAAACTAGAAGTATGAATAATGATACCTGATAACTATACACACTTGAGTTCCAACTTCCTTTCCATTTGTGGACGGGCCATCTAGGTGGAGATTCTTGCACGGACAGTCTTGTTCAACCACAAGTCCAAATCCCCACAGTGTTATCCACTGGGATCTTATTTCCTGTTCCACTAGCTTTTCTCACTAGCTTGATTGATCATCGCTGTTTTATTCTTCATGATGGTACCCAATACCAATCTCGATTCACCTCTATGTTGTTGTTGTGGTGAAGATTACCCAGGTCGAGAGAGAACTCAATTACTCTATGACCCGTGTCAATGGAGCAAGGATAACCCAAACAAAGTCAACAACATGGTATCCTGTCTTATCTGCTCAGCCCAATTTGAGGTCCTCAAGACTCAGTTGTGTGGTGGATGCAAAAAATTTCCAAAGGCAGTTGAACTTATTAGTCCCTCTCAATCGACTAATCCACCGATCAAATCGCCAGGCAAAATGTCATCGTCGAATTTGATTGCTTTTGGTTCTCGACCTCTCTTTCTCTCGCCATCGCAAACGGCTGTTACTTCAAAAACTCAATTTCCAATACTCTCGAGTTCTTGTTCTTCACGTCCCTCAAGCTCTCACTTATAAATGATTGGAAAAAGAACTGATCATGAATCAGATATCAGGCATCAATCTATATTAGGAAAGAGAGGGATGGGAGTGGCTCAACTGGTCAAGCTCTGGCTAAGTAGTTAGTCCGATATGTTTGAGTCCATCGAGTCCAGCTGGTTTTGTTTGTTTGAACAGGACCCTCTTGAATGAAAACGATTCAGATTAAAGCCGCTGATTTTATTGGCTGAGAGGGGCATCACCATCGCGATGCCGGGATCCTGACAGATCCTGATCCTGATTCCTGAGACCTAGCACAAAACCAAGTGAAAAATTATCTTGAGCCCGAAAACCAGCAGTTAAGAAAGTCCAAAACCTGACTCCAATTGATTGATCACCGTCTCTCAGATGTCCTATAAATCGATTGCATTTGAGTTAATGTGATTCCAAATGATTGTGAGCTGAGTTGAGTAAGAGAAAGTACGAGCGAAGTCGATCCTATGTTGATACTACTCCTACATAGTTGATCAATTTTGGGTTGTGTATTGAGCTGTACAGTCTGTACAGGCTGTATCCGGGTTTGAGGTTTGTCCTCCACCCTCCTCTCTCGTCCATCGTAGATCCTTCCCAATTCTATATGCTTAAATAAATGTCCTTGCCCACTATCCCCAACCCCAAGCCTTAATTATCCCATTCCCCCACTCTACACGTCCCTTATACTGTGCCCCGCCTATACTTCCCTATACTACCCTCGACACCTCTACTTTATCCCTACTCGACTCTCAGCCCCCTATCAGGCTGCACATTACGGATCATTGACGATGCCTAGCTCATTACTTTCCCAATATTATCTTCTCATCTCAGCTGACTACTAGCAGCTCACATCGCTACTATTCACTGCTCCTCACCTCTCACTCCGTCTCCGCATGACGTCATCTTCAGAGCCAACTCTCTTCGCCTCATCAACTCGCAACCAATCTCAATGCCACGCATCGTGAGTTCCCCCGTCCCAGCCAATTCGCTGAATGTTTAAACCCTTTTTAATAACCACCCGATCACGTTCGCCACGAGCCTGCCACGCACCAAACCGGACATTTTTCCTACCTGACCACTACGTCATGTTACACAGCTTCTTGCCATTCTCATCGGCTCAGCTTACCAATTCCAGTCCAATCCCACCTACTCACCGATCCATCAGCGCTAATACGCTCCTTCCTGCCTGCGTGTACACCACATGGTACTATAAATACAGCCCCCTCATCATAACAAATTCTTCGACTACTTCCCGTCATCTACATTTCTCTCTATTTCTGTTTCCACCATACTTAACCCAACACCCCTTACCTGATACTGCTTTGTACCTCTCCGTTACTCTCTCAATGTCTGGTTCCAACATTCCGCTCAAACAGTCGCACGTCGTTACGGTTTCTGGTATCGTTGAGAACAGTGCTGTGGTTCGTACTTTTCCTTTCTCAGTACTCCAATGTAGCTCCCACTTATCTTCCTCTACAACACCCCCCTTCAGACAACCGAAACTACTCCTACCGCTCTTGCACGGCCGCCATCACCTGTAACGGCTGGAACGGGGACAATAAGAAAGAGTACGACGGCAAATTCACGGCGTACTGTTCATCCCTCCAAGTTCCACATGAAGGTGAATGCTACTGCATCAAAGCCCGCTTCCTACCAGCAAAGGACTCCGCCGACTTCAACATGTACTACGAGGCCGAGCACAAGGTTTTCGTCGGTACGAGTGAAACCTTTATTGGCGTCCTTCACCATAATACAGCAG